TATAATGACATCACCCAAAAGCACAATGCTATCCGGCCCCAAATATAGAATGGGTAATATAGACAGCATCAGATACAAACCCCAATGCGTGTCTTGTGGTAGACTTGTATTTGGGAGCACCTTTTGTCTGAGATTCAGTCATTTAATAGACCAAGAGATTCATGGAAGGAAAAATGTTTTTCTTAGGCAGCTATACCAAGACAATATATAAGTAGGTGTGTATACTTATATATATTAATATATACATTAATATATATTATATATTAAGACCTTGTATATCTTAATATATAGAAGGTCTGTCTGGAAAGTATCCAGCCATTGTTAACATAACGAGAATGTTTGATTGACATCAATGTACCCTGGTAGCCTGGAAGCCAAGGACAGTGGACTGTGATGCGCATGTGTGAACAATGACAACTTCACTGTATTAGTCAGCCGGGCGCTAGATGCCATTGAGTGAGCATGGGCACTGTGTGGCCATTGCATTCAAGGTGACTGAGCAAGTAGGGCACTGGATCTGCATCAAATTTTGCGTTAAGCTTGAGCATTCCTCCATGGAAAACTATTCAGATTGATTCCGAAGGCTTTCAGGGACAATGCAATGAGCGAAGTACAGATAAAAGTGTGGCACGAATGCTTCAAAGATGGTGGAGAATCTGTTGAAACTGATCCACATTCTGGAAAGCCTGCAACAAGCAGAACACCTGAGAATGTTGAATGCGAATGGGTTAGGTTAAGAGACCCTGGGAGAATTGTAGGAGGTCCCAAAGTGCCTACTTTGAAAGGGACTGAGGTGTCACTGTCCTATGTACAATGTTTCTTGTATTTTATTCAATAAATGTCTTTATTTTCGTATTACATGGCTGTATACTTTCTAGACAGATCTCATCTATATATAGACACACATGTGTATTATATATCTGGACATACACATCTCATTCACTTCTCTTAAAAACAGCAAAAACAAAACTAAATTCAGTCATCATTCTTACAGTAAAATTTCATCTCTTCTGCTTTCCTAAATCAATTCTACTTTCTTCTGTTTTAGTGAAATAGACTGATCTGGACACTTGTCATGGGTAGAACTGCTAGTCATGAAAGCCAAAAACAGTGACTTCAGGGAGCCAACCAGGAGGTTCTACTGTCTCTGCACA